TATCAGAGTCATGATTCAAGTAGAAACTAGTTTGGTCCAATTAGTGTAACAGGTTTTTATTTTAAAATAAAGGCATTTCAAGCATTTCCATTCTCAAAAATAGATGTTTACTTATTTCTCTGTAATACATACCATGACCTTCACTTCCAACAGTATTAATGAATAGAAACCGTATTTTCTACCATTTAAAAAGAGTGACTTCATGTGTTCTTAATTCTGTAAGCCATCCACATAACAAATTTATACAGTGACAGCAGAAATAACTAACTGAAGACTGAACAACAGTATGTTCCTTCCAAATGAGGTAAAATATTGGGACCTAACTGAAATATTTTCAGAATATTAGTAGAATTAAGAAGACATGCAAGTAAACAATACATGAAGATTCAATAACTGGCTAAGGAAAGCCAGTTCAACAATTAATATAAGCAACATCCATTTTAAGTCATGGTCTGTCAAAGCCAATGAAACCATGCCAGAACTAGGTACCTATAAACAATGAATAGAATTAAATAAATTGTTTCAGAAATGGAAAAGTAATCAGTCTCAACTGGACTATTAAGAGAAAAAAATGTATTGGGAAAAACAGGATTCATGAATGATGACATTTGGATAGTCATTGGGAAAAAGAATATTTTTGAAAGAATTAGCTGTATATGCATATAAAACAAGTGACAGGTTGCTTCACAGGAGAAGACACACATAGGATAGGGCTGATTTTGCACAGTCTTGGAAATCAATTTTTTTTTTTTAATAAAGTCTTAATTTTTTTTTTGACATTTTTTCTATAGGGCACATGCACATGCTGGAGAGACAGAGAAAGACAGACAGAAAGTGAGAAATCAACTCCCCAGTGGGGGATGGCCATGCTACAAACCCTTTTCCACTCTCCTCTTGGGATCTTGGACATGCATGCACATGCACCTGGCCTGAGTCTGAAGTAGCCGGGTCTGAGACTCATATCTTGGTAAACTATGTGGGAGTCTAGCAAGGTGACCATTACATGATCTGCCGGTAACACTAAAATCTCACTTAAAAATGTAATATTATTCTAGCAGCAAAATATAAAATAGACTGTAGACAGATTGAACAAAAGAAGATGAATAAATAAGACTCATGCAATAATACATGAGGAAATGAAGCAAGGCAGTAGCAATGTGAACATAAATAAAGAGCAAATGTAAAAAAATTCCAAATGAAGAAATTATTGAATGAACAAACTGATAAAAAGATGAGATTTAGGGAATTAAAGAGAAGAATCAAAGTTGTTTTAAAATGCTCAGTTTGTCCAAATATAAGGATAAAAACAGTATAAGTAGTATTAATAAGAAAAGACATACTTGTTGGTTATTTATCAAATTGGGGTTTGAAGTATTTGCATCCAAATTGATTTGAGACAAGAATACAGTTCTAAATTCTCAATTTCAAGTTACTTCCTTACTTTTCACCAAATGGTGAGTGAAGATCACACTAAAGTAAAATAGAAAACTCACGAGTTCTTGAAATGTTTTGTTACCCTGGTATAAAAATAAACAAACAACAACAACAACAAATTGTAATCTTAAACATGGTTCCAAGAAGTAAAATGTCTTCAGACAGAATTTTCAGGGACTATATACTTAGGAAGTTCCTTTTTAAAAAATCTAATAATGTTGACTATGGTGATCACTGTTTTATTTACTTTAAACAATGATAAATGCTGTCTGAATTTTTTATGTGTTGGAATGGTGCTCAATTCCATTCGTGGTAACCACCAACTATGTCATCAGTCTGTTTTACTTTTTAAAATTACAGCCTAACAGATATAGTTAAAGAAAAGGTCACTTCATTTATTTACTTGATCAAATGACCCAATAGAGATAATACATAGCAGACTAAATTTCACAAACATAAACTAATAATCAGAATTTATTTGGAAGAAATGATAGACTTAAAAGGGAAGAATAAATTTTTTTCAACCTCTCCATACATTCTTAATTGGAAGGAAACCTTCTGAAACCTTAACAAAAGACAGACTAACAGGAGAAAACCAAGTAAATTTATTAATATGCATGTTCCATATGTACATTGGAGACAACCAGGGAATGAGTAGTTCTTAAAGAGGTGGCTTTAGATTCTAGTTTACTTACCATATTTGAGAAAGCATAGTGAGTTTTTAAAAAGTGCCAAAACAACAGAAAAAGTCTGAGTCTCAAGAGGCAACAACTGGAAGGAAGGCAAGTACATGGTAGATAAATCTTGGTTAGTAGAGCTCATTAATATAATAAATTGAGATCATCTCCAGGCCCATAATGGACTAAAGTTATCCTCAGTGGCTAAACTGTGTTTTCCTTGGTAGAGGAGGAGGGATGTCCATGTAAATCTATGTCCTGCTTTATGTAAATCTATATCTTACTTTAAGGCAAAGAGCAGAGGACAGAGATCTTTCCTCTAGTTGCTTCTTCTTACTTGGCTTCAGTTGAACTCTTCATCGTATTTTGGAAGCAATGTTCTAGTCTATTGTGTTGCTAATAACAGAAATACATGAGGCTGCATAATTAGGCTGGGTAATTTATAAAGAATAGAAGTTTAACTCACAGTTCCATAGGTCCAAGTCTCAGAAGGGCATCTGACAAGGGCTTTCTTGCTGGTGGAGGCTTCCAGCAGGACATCACACTGAAACAGCAAGAACAAACATCTGTGTTGCTTCGTTCCCTTTCCTACTTCTTTTTCTTTTTCTTTTAAATTTGCTATAGGGCATATGTACTCACCACAGAGAGAGGGAAAATGAGATACCATCCCCCAGGGAGGATAGTAATGCGATAATCACTCCTCCTTCATTCTCCACTTAGGATCCTGACAAAGGTATCAAGGTACACACAGGTACCTGATGGGTTTTTATAAAGTCACCAGGTCAGAGACTTGAACCGCATGGTCTGCCATTTGGGATCCAGTTTCCTTACTTACTGTGCCACTGGCAGGCCCTCATTTCCTTTCTTTATTAAGTTACTAGGATTCAATTGTAGGAGCTTTACCATGGTGTCCTAAATTCTAATCACCTTCCTAAAACCCGCATCTTTCAACACCATAATCTGATTATGCCTCCACCCTGTCAACACTGTTATAAAGGTTCAACACATAAACTTTTGGGAAAAGTGTTCAAACTTTACCAGGTGGCATATTCTGCTCTCCCACATACGTAATTTTAGATAGGTTAAAAATAACTTGGATTTTATAGTAAAAATCATGCTACAGTTAATGTTATTACTAAGGATGAATTTTACTGGAGTATCCTCTTCATGAAAGAAATGTTTTTAGTTTTTTAGTTCAGTTTTTTTCTAGTTTTTAGTTCTTATATCATCAATTAAATGGAGACTCAGCTTTATATGTTTTGCTACTTGGAATGTGATTCAGAGACCAACAGAAATTGAGTCATCCAGGAATTTATTAAGAAATGTAGAATCTCAAGTCCAACCCAAATTACTGAACTAGAATCTGCTTTTCAACAAGATTCTTAGGTGATTCCTATGTCCATTAACGATTGAAAAGCAATTTGCCTTGTATAAACTGATCCTTGATTCAACTTTGTAGGTCACTTACTCTGACTTCCTAAAATGCATAACAATTTTAAATTTAAGGTTTTATAGGACGGAGATTAAGGAATTTTATGTAATGCTAGAAGAAACAAAACCAATGTTACTTGAATCTTATTACATTTTACAACGTTATGTTAGACATTTCAAATCTCTTAATTCATTTAATACTTTCAGTACCCTATAGGTAAGCCCTATGATCCCCTGTCTACAGATATAAAAACATTAGGTTATTTATTCCACACAGTTGGTTCCCTTGGTAAATATTGAGCATGCCCTCTCTCAAATCCCTGGAAATCTGGGACCAGCAGTTAGCGTAATGGCTATGTCGCTGGACTCCCATGTTGTCAACCTCGGTCTGAGTCCCGGACTGGTGGCTTAAATTCACGCTGGGCATGTGTAGGTTCGTGCCCAAGATCCCGAGAAGGAATTGCGGAGTGAGATTGCCAAGTGGTCATCCCCCCTGGGGGTGATTTCTCACTTTCTGTCTCTCTGTCTCTCTCTTTCTGGTCAGCGAACGCGCCCTACAGCACAGCAAAAACCTCTCCAAAAAGAAAAAAAAAGTCAGTCCCTGGGAATCTCATTGGCTTGGCCCCTCCAGTCCAGAAGTGTTCAATGTACCTAATGAGACGAACGCTAGGAAAGTGGTGCAGGATGGTGTATGAGTTTCTAAAAGGGAACCCTAAACTTTTAGAAGGGATTTAGGATGAACTTCTATTCGGATAGAGATTTACACTGACTCCTGAGGAACTCCCGTTCATCACGTTGGCCTTGGAAAAAGCTGGAGTTTTGTACGAGGAACGTCCGCGTGGAGTCTGGAACATGAAGGAATCCTGCAGAACTCGCAAGGTGCGGATGTTGGGCCTTATCCAAGAGCCAAACGAGGCCCCTTGGGGGAGGGTGCAGGCGAGGAAGCGCAGGCCCTGGTGCACGGTGGGATCCCGCCTCGGCCAGACCCGCGCGGCCGGCGGGCGGTGGGTGTGTCGGCCCTCCCCCGGCCGGGCCGCGTTCTCCACCCGGCGCCGCCTCCGCCCCTCGGCGTGGGGGTCCGAGGTGGGTGGGAAGTGTGGGAGAGGGGCGGGGGGAAGAGACCGTGCTCGAAAAATATTAAAAAGAAAACATCCCACTTGGCAGCGAGTGCGCGGGAAGTTCTGCGCGCGAGTTCCGGGTTGCCCGCCCGCCCCCGGCCCGCCACAGCCCGGGTGAGCCCCCAGCCCAGCTCCGGACCGCGTCCGTCCGCCGGTCCGTCGGTCCCGCCGCCTTCCCACCCCGTACCCGTTCTTCCTTGGGGTGCCGCGCGGAGTCCCCCGGTCGGCGGGTCGCCTGGCTTCCGCGGGGCACCCGC